TGTCATTACAGTTGTGGTACTGGGAGATCTGAAGAAGTGGTCTTGCCTTTGTCCTTGTTCCGGCATGCCTGCTTTAGGGAGGGATGGTGGGACATGGCTTGCTCATCAGAAGATACAGCCTGGTCAAGAAACAAACTTCAGAGAGCTAGACATGGAGGATTAGATGATATAGGAGGGTGGTTTACAAACATCTTCCTGACCAGATGAAGAAGTGGACCATATTCTGTCCCCTTTTCCCACCTTTAGCAGTATTTTACTCGTGGCTCACCCCCAAGCCTAGAGCCAAATGTCTGCAACAGCTGTGAGGATGCCTTGTGTTTAAAGCAGCCACGAGGCACACGTCTAATGGCCCAGGGCTGCTTGGGATGTGCTGCTGCTTGCTTTTCTCGGAAAGGGTTCTTGCAACATGAAAGAAGTGCAGGGAAACAAAGAGCCCTGGGGAGAGAAGTGACAGGCGGCAGCTGGAGCCAGTGGGTGACTTGCCGAGTGACAGAGCAGTTGGGCTCCTCGCTACTCTGCTACTATTTTGGAAACTTCAATAAACAGAAGAGGCAAGATCAATCTCTCAGGGCTCCAACACAAAGCCTGAGGAGCCCTGTGGACTTTGGTGGCACGGGTGGACTAAGAGACCAGTTCCTCCATATGAACTCTGCTTCATTTGGACCCCAGGGAAAACTCATCAGGTTTAGCTGCTGAAAACGTTATTAGCAATTCACTAATTAGCAGGTCTCAGCTCCTTTGCTGGTGCAACCTTGCACTAAGGAATTCATGCTCCTTGTGCCATGGAGAATATGACTGTTCAACAGGGGAGCTTTCAAGCAGCTGGAAAAAAAGTATGGATGTTTATATTTGTAAAAAGGGATTGTTTTTGCTGCTGTCAATTATTAATGGCTCTCAGGTCAGGCTAAGGAACAATGCCAGGGATGAATTACCCTGTACGCTATTCATATATCCTCTCCCCAATTGTTTCCTTCTCAACTAGAGGATTCACCTCACAATGAACTCCTTGGCTTTTGGAAAAAAAGAACGAAGCGATGAACTTGGTGTGCCCATTTATTTATGCATTGACATCTTTCCTACTTTGTCAGGTGTGTTTAATCAAAAAGAAGCAGGAAATGCATTATAATTATAAACATATTACTGCGCAAGAAAAAGGCTGCCCTTGGAAAGGACTGTGTTGTTTGATAAATTGTTACAGTGAAAAAACACAGGCTTAACCTACGAAGCTCTTTGCTGAGATCAAAGCAAAGCTGCCCACCCGCCACCGGCTGTCTGTGCAGCAGGACTCAGCTCTGAGTTTGCGGCAAGGCAAGTGAAAGTTGAAAAGAAAATGCAATCTCTTCTCTTCCTTTTTTATTTTTTTTGCCTGAAACTTTTCTCCTAGTATAAAAAAAAAATGACTCAAACATTAAATATTTGCCTTTAAAATTAATAGAATTAGTGATGAACCCAGCTGAGAACACAATAATTACGGCCCAGTCCAAAGCTCCATGTTGAAGTTCATGGAGAAACTTATTGTTTTCAACAGGGTCTGACTTGGGATCCTGATGAGCCAAAGCAAAGATGGAGAGTTACAGAATAACCCTGGGAGATCCTGGATGTCCTGCAGTCTTTCCATGTGACCTTGCCCAAACTTGCAAACATTCCTTAGTGGTGAGCACAGCCGAACCCCAGTCAGTGATCTGCTGCTACTGTGAAAAGCAAAAGTCCTTCTGGTCTGCAAGACCAGGAATGCTGTAGGTAAGATGCAGACAAGGTTTATTGCCCTTCTCAGCACTGCAAAGCTGAGCCACGGCCCTGTGCTTAAATAAATAAAAAACCACCAACAGATAAACTGGAAATTGTCCAGAAGAGAGCAACAAAAATGATCAGAGGTCTAGAAAACATGACTTATGAGGAAAGATTGAAAGGGATGGGTTTGTTTAGTCTAGAGAATTTGAAACATCCTAATAAACTTTAAAGATGTAAAAAAATACATGGTATCTAAAAGGGTAATCGATTGCCCTTTATCCCTGTGGGTACGGCAGAAGGTACAGCAAAGAAGATTTAGTAGAGATAGTATTAAAAGCTCTGAGATTAATAACACACTCAAGTACATTACTTTGGGAGGGATCAGAACATCTCTCATGAGAGCTTTTCTGTGCATTGGACAAGTACCTGCCATGGGTAACTCACTGTCCCATGGAACAGGCTGCTTTCAGCCATGTGATCCTATGGGTTGCATAATCTAGTGTCTGAGTCAGGACACTTGAAAATGAGACCTTGGAGGTGATGAGCTTTTACAGCATTCCCTGATTTGAAAAAATGTGGCAGGTGATCAACCCTTCTGAAGGCTGACCTCCAATCAACAACCCTTTTCTAAAAGCCTCTTTTCCTTGGCTTCCATGGTTATTAAATGAAAAGCAACAAATTCACACCTTTCCATGGGGCCATCATTGTATTTGTGAAGTGCCTTGCTGCTATCACATGGGGGATTCCCATCTAAGCAAGCACTCAGATGTTTGAATATTAGGATGATGAGACCTCTGAGAAAACATGTAGTAACTCATGTAGTGGCAGCCTTGCAGATTCTGCTCGTAAAAGTCCCCTCCTGATACTGGAGAAAGAAGTACCTTTGCTAGGAGTGTTTTTACCCATAGCACCATTGGGATACAACAACTGCAAAGCAGTCAGGATGGTATTAGGTACTGCTCGAGGTGGGCCAGATGGTGGTCAGCACCTAATTAGAAAGGCAACATCCCTTCTTCCCATAGTGCCTGTCCCACTGCTGAGTATCCTCTGTCTTTTAGCTGCATGTGCTGCTGCCTCTCTGTGACCAAGCAACTCCACCATCCCTCATCTACCTTGAAAAGGCTCAACCCTGTTCTCTGATTTCAACCCTTTTTCTGTGAAGGGCACCAAAATCTTTGGTCAGAGTTTGCATCAAAACTGACCACAAGACAGAAATCTATCAGAAACCACGAGCATTTGAATTTACTTCCCAGTGACTCCAAATTCCTTGAATTATGGGCACGAGGTGAGGAGTTTGTGAAGAGAAGGAGCACAGGGCTGCAGCCACAGCAGGGCTGGCCATAGCCCTTGGTGTCTCCAAGGACTTGGGGGTGATGTGAGGGCTCCCTGAGGGATGGAGGAAAGATGCTGAGGGGAATGCTGCTGCAACCCTGCCTCTTCTTTGCACTCCCCATTTCCTGCCCAGCTACAGCTGTGCAAGGTACTATTTGGTGCCCACAAGAACATGGAGAAAATCACTAGTTATATGATACGGGAATTAAAAAAAATCTGTTTGCTTCTAAGCGTAAACCAATGACTGTGGCAATGGTTTGCAAACATGGGGTTATGGCCCTGAGTCAACTTTTTTCCCCCTGGGTTTTGGGTACAGTCACGAGCCTGGCAGGAATCTGTGTCAGCTAAAATGCATGGCAGCAACTGGCGTCTCCCGGAGTTTGGAGCTGAGCAGGGTCGCAACAGGAAGGAGTTTGGGAAGGCAGCACTGCAGGGTTAGCAATAAACATCTCCCTGGGGCAGACATTCCATAATTGGCCATGACAAGGCTTCTTTCTCCAGAGGGATGGAGATGGTCTGTGAGGAAGCAGGATGAATCACTGCTCCAGTCCAACTTGGCAAATGCTGTGATTTAGCTCTGCTTTGCACAGGGAGGAGACGATGATATAGACTGAAAGACAGAAGAGAAATGTAGCCAAAGGCTTCTGAGCTGGGAGACAAGTTTGGGTTCCCACTCATTTTTTGCAGGTTTACTCAGATCCTTAGAAGGAAACCCTGGCAATACCCACTGGTACAAAAACAATTCCCTTTATCAACAATTCAGAGGGAACAATGGGGACTCCTGAACACAAAGCTCATACAAACAATAATAACCCTTTTATTCCACATTGTTACAACAGCAGTTGATACCAAATACTGTCTTCCAGCCCCCCACTTCATTAACTATTTCAGTCACCCTTCTACTTCCAGTCACAGATTTATGGGAGGGGATCTTAGGATCCTGAGCTAGTTTACTGCAATGTAGTGGTGACGACGTGCCTGCGCAGCCTTCTGTAAAGAGGGAGGTTGAGTGTGGTTTCCTCATGCCACCCTGTACCCTTGGAAAAGTCCCACTTTCTTTCAAAAAGGGGTGTTCTTTCTGCCATCCTTTCTTTGGATGGTGGACATCAGTGCTATCTTTAAAGCTCCTTGCTATCTCAGCAATCTTACCAAGCCTGGTGACCTAACAGCAGTTCACAGCCTGTTCAGTATCTGATGATTAATCCTCTCCCTTTAAAAGTATGTACTCAGTGGCAGAACCCCACAAAAATATTGGTGGAGCCAGAGCTGCTTTGCCAAGTGGCAGATTTAGACTTGCTCTTCTTGGAAAGCTGGCTTCCTGTCACTGGCTTTGTCTCATGGTTTTTTTCCCAGTGGTTTGGAGAGAGGAGAAAGGGAAAAAGAAATTGTTCCTCCCAAATACCTCTTCTCTTTTATATCCCCTTTCCTCCATATGTCCTCTCTGCTATTCCAGATTTCAAGAATTCCATCAGCCAAAGTCTTCCTAACTAACCCCACTGCTATTACTGATGCAAAAGGAGAAGATCCCTGCAAAACAAGATCCCTTGAAAAAGAAGATGCAGACAATCTTAATTTCCATCCCACCTTCTCCTGCTCCTTCAGAGGGCAGGCAGGGGGAACAAAAGTCTTCGCTATGAAAGAGTGTTAGCTCAGAAAAGTCAAATCTGCATTTTGTTGCAATATGAGAGTTCAGATCAAAGCATCAGTCTTTTGCTTATTTCTAATTTGCTGTTAGGAACATTAAAATTTTATTTCTTATGAGATGACTACCATAGCTAATGCAGGCAGCTGCTGCTGGCCTGGCTACAAGACTGAAGCTCAGGGCTTCCTAATCTAAATGCTCCCATCACGGGAAACAGAGAGCTTGGTCAGCACCGAGCAGCTAAGGGCTGCCCAGGCAGCTGAGTTTGCATGCCAACAAAGGCAGGTTATCCAGATCTTACTTTCCCTGGAGATATCAGCATCCCTATTCAGTCTGTACAAGGCCAAATCCTACAATGGGTTCTTACCCAGTATCTTTTTCCTGTTTTCTGTTGAGATACTGGGTAAGGCCTCCACACTGGACTCAGCAGCACCATATGCAATACCAGTCAGGTGAACAGGCACAAGCACAGAGCTTATGATCTTCCTGGCACAGGGTCTGGGAAGGACTAGCGCTGCTTGTGCATTTAAAGTCAAGAGTTTGCCTGACCCCATAAGGATTCCCCATGTGCTCTCTGCAGAGCGAGGCAAGTCCTTTCCGGGAAGGAAAGCACAAAGGAAGTACCAAAGCTCGTTTAGAGAAGGTTAGAACAGGGGACACACTGGAGCGTAAGGCATCCATGGTCAAAGAGTCTGTGTGGCAGTTTTCCCTTTGGTGTCCACGTGTCAGTCTCTGGATCATAGCAGTCCAAGGAATCCAGGTCCTTGATGACATTGTCTGTGGTGAGACATCGTCCTCCTGTGACATACAGCTTGTTCTTGATGACAGTGGCCCCATGATGCATTCGTCTGTCCTTCATGTCTGCACATTTAACAAACTTGTTGCCTTTTGTATCATAAGCAATGATTCTCCTGGTGTACCCTGAATGAAAAGCCAGAGGTGGAAGAGACAGATGGGAATTAAAGCTTATGGACAGCAGAAGGAATGATAATATATTTCCTGATAGTCTTCAATAAAACCTATTATACTGGTACATAATTTGGCAGAGTTAAGATCTCTAAGTTAGGAAGTGATGATCTGTCACAGGAATGCCTGTCTGACTATCTTTCTTTCCTGTTTGTCCTCACCCTGTCTACTAGCACCTTGGCAGCCAGGGCTCAATAAGCACCATAAGACCCATCGGATCAGGCAACCAACCTGTCCCACACAGTTGGAGCTTGTAGTTACCTGCATGTGCCTTCAAACATCCCAAAATACTTCCTTTCACCCAAGAGACTCCTTGAGCTTCACTTGGTAATAGAGAAACCATGGCATATGGGAGAGGAACAATAGTGCCTTGTTGGGTTGGAGTTGTGGCTGCCTACTGAATGGAGCTGAGTACTCAGCACAGTGCCACTGGTGTTTGCTCCACTCCTAAAGTCCACAGTGCCATATCTGTGCCAGCCACCACGCCAGTGACCCAGTGTACAGCTCTTCCACTGAGAGGTGATGTAACCTCGGATCGGCTGAGAGGTAAGGGCTGGTAAAAGGGCCATTGCTCTGGAGCATTGGAGGTGTGGAAGCTTGGTACCCAGCAGTACCCGGCCCATGTATAAAAACAAGAGTATGGTCTGAGGTAAGGATAATCTGCCACACAGGATAGTCTGGGACCTTTGGACTCAGCTCTCCTGTGTTCTGACTGCAAAGGGTAGCAGTGGCCTCCCCCTGAGGGGTGACACCATCTTTGAGTCCCGTGTGATTTGCGTTCAGTTCACTGCTCTGCCAAAACTACTATGTGTCTCATTTTCTCTTACATAATCTAACACATGCTTCCTCTTGCCAGTCCGTGATCGGGGGAGCTGCATTCAGGATTGTAGAGTGCCAAGACCAACGACATAATACACCAAAGTGCCAATGGGCAGAGGCTGGTCCTCAGGCTGAAAAACACTGTGGAGTTTCTTCTTTCCAGGTGTTTCACACCCCTTTCAGGACATTTCACAATTACCCCCAGGAGGCAGCTACAGGACCAACCAACATCTCATAGACCTATAGCCCACCCATCCCAAGATTGTGGTAACCACGCTCTCTATTATCCCAAGAAGAGCAGACAGAGAGTTCCAGGATGTGAGTCAGCAGGGGAGAAGCAGGATCCCCGTGCTTTTGGCATCCTTTCTTCTGCAGACCAGCAACTTGCATTGGCTTTTCCTTAGTTTCCCCCACCCAGGTCCTGCTGCTTGGAGTAAAAAGGGGCCTCATGGAGAACTTGTCTCTGCTTCCATTGCCGTAAGAGAAGTGGATGGAGGGTGGGCACACTCCTCCTTTCTTTCCCAAGATCCAGGTGCTTTTTGAGGGACCACCCCCTCAAAAGCCACAGGAAGGCTGTGAAAACCCACAAGATCTGGGTAGGGGGAGGCAGAAGGAAGGTGAAACAGAACTCTTACCACCTATGATGATAATCTGGTCTCCAATTGTGACAGCTGGTGCACAGACATTCTTCACCACTCTAGTCTCCATCCGAAACCATGTATTCCTGGACACATGGTAAACCTGACAAGAAAATAAAGATACTCACACAGCTGTTTATGTTGTATTTCAAGTGGCATTTGTAATTACAGAGGAACTTAAGGGGTTTATTTTGCCCTAATAAATACAATCCTCTGGCTCAAAGTCCTGGAAATCTGAGAATATACCCATTTTTTTTCCTAATATATCTTCTTGGAAAGCATTCTAGTTCCCCAAGGTTGTCTGCTCAGGACATGCTAGCACACACACTAAGATGAAGTGTGTCTGCCATATACAAGCTTCTTGGCTGTAGATCTTTGCACAGCTATTAAATCACTGTAACTTGCTCTGCCAAAGTGCAAGCCCATTAATTTCATTTACCAGTTATTCTGTGTATTCCTGCCTTGGTCTTAGCAATTTCCTGGGCAAACAAACTTCAACTTCACCTAGCTTTGCTGGCAGCCACCATATTTGCCCAGCTGCTATATTTGTGCTGGTGGCTGGCAAAGGGACTCAGAGTGGTATCTAAGTCATCAATTTATGTGAGAAAAAGAGCTGTTGCCAGATGATGATCATTCAGTCATCCATATCTGGATGACACAAACTTTTATGCCATATTATCTGGTTCTCAATATAGTAAATATTTCCAGGGCAACTCCCCATTAACAGATAAATACATTTCCTTCCCCTGATAATCAAGTACCATTATAATCACAAAGTATTGCTCGTGTCCTGGTGCCATCTTAGCTCCTAATGATTCTTAGTTAAAGCACCTCAACCAGTGGAAAACACTTATGGGGATAGAAACACTACAATGTTACTAAAGCATCAAATCAGATAAGAAAAAATTGTATGAATTTTTTCTTCTTAATAGAGTGTAACCGCTGAAAGCAGACAGAGAAACCAGCAACATGTGGCAGGAGCTACGTTTTTAACACAACTGTTTATATGAAATGACTGTCAGTTTAAGTCCTGGCCCTTTGATGAGTGAGTATCTAATCGCTCTAATGATGGCGAGTGTTTGTGTTCGCTGCGAGCGAGCAGGTGTGCGGCTGAAACCCCAGCTCGGCTGCCAAGGAGAAAGCACTGGTTCTGGTGATATTGGCTACAGGCATGAAGCTGGGCAGGGGGGGCTGCTGCCGCCTGCCATAGCATCATCTGCAGCAGCCCTGGCCTTAGTGCTCACCAGAGGCACAGCTGACTGACACCCAAAGAAGTATGTCAGGGCTTGTGCCTGTAAAACCTTCAGAAGGGGAAAATGAAATGGCTGCAATGGTCCTGGAAGCCATGTATCAACTCAACCTGCCCCTTGCTGCGACTCACAATAAAGTTTTCTAGGTGGTTTGATTTTCTCATGAGGGTGATGGACTGCTGAATACCTTAGAAGAAATTGCCTATGACAAGCAGGACCGATCATTACCTGGATCAGCCGAACTGGGTTTTGCATAATGTCTTCTCCCCCAAAGAGGTAGACCCTCTGATCTTTGGCAGCAACAGCAGGGTGAAGAACAGCAACAGGCATGTTTGCCATGCTCTCACAGGTGTTGTAGACGCTATCATATCTTTCCACAGAATTCAGGATTTCCTGGTTTTCACCAATTCCACCGAATGATAAAATATAATTTTTATATGCCAAACTTCTGTGGGAGTAACGTGGAACTAACATATGCTCAATCAACCTCCACTGATTGAGTTTGAGGGAGTAAATGTAAATATTACCACTGACCAGGCTTTTCTTATTGCTAACAGGCATCCCTCCGAGCACATAAATGTTGCTGTGTAAACTCACTGCAGAGGCTTTGTACAGGTGCATGGGAAGTTTGGCCAGGCTCAGCCATTGGTTTGTCTTGTCATCATAGAGCAGGACATCCCTCGTCTGCTGGCTGTCCTTCCTGCCACCAATGATGATGAGGAACTCTTGGTTGGAGTACCGGCGAGGAACATGCATCATGGGTTTGATGTCAGGTGCGTTGGTGCTGTACAGGGAAAACATATGTCTCCAGGCTGACTCAAGGATGCTCCTGCAAGTGGGTGAGGACTGAACGAGTGAGTCATTGGCAATGAAGTGGAAGAGGAAAGTTGGATGGACGTATTGAAGGCGGACTTTCTTGAACAATTCTTGGATGTAGCCTTGTCGTGCCTGGAGGTCGTGCCGGACCCAGACCATCAGTGCCTCAAAGACCTGCTCCTCCTCCCCACAGAGTTCATCGTCCCCAAGGTAGTCGATGAGCTCCAAGGGACAAAGGTCCTTCAAGTCCTCAGAAGAGGCCACCACAGGAAAGCATTTCAAAGCCATAGCCTTGGCTTTCTTATTCAGACTTTGGCAGTTCAAGATTTTTGCCAGTCTAATCATGCTCAGACAGTTGTCAGGAGTCAGCTTGTCTTGAAGGTAGGCAGAGCAGGCCTCAAATAGCTTAGTGTACTGCAGCATGGAGGCAGTCTCCAACAGGCACAGGACATTCTCAGTGGATATAAGAATCTCCCCTGTGTAAACATAAAGGATAATCTGATCCAAAATGTTGGCGTCGATGCCCTTCAGGATGACTTTAGCCTGGCGACTCTCTCTGAAGTCATTACAGAACATTGCCTTGAAGTACGGACTGCTGGAAGCCAGCACATTTCGGTGACAGGGGATTTCAAAACCCCCGGAACAGAGGGTAACATCAGTCAGCAGCCCGCTCTGCCGCAGAGCATTCAGCTGCCTCAGCAGTTCAGAGGAGAAGTCCTGGTCTTTGAAGAGAAACTCTTCAGTGGATCCCCCCTCCATAGCAAAATAGGAGAGAGATGAATACTGGACTTGGCAGAAAAACCCCTGAATTCTTAGCAGCTTTTATTGAAATATCCAGCTCCAAGAGAACAAATCGGGACTTTGATGTTCTTCTAAATATCCGTTCGCTGTTACGCATAAAAATGGAACACTGGTTAAGCACAGTGGGAAAATAATAAAGAAGTCAAAAGGTCCCTAAGACCCTTTAAAATTTTCATAAAGTTATCAGATAGGTTGCAGCTCTGAGGTCAGCACTGCCTGTGTCCCTGGCAAGAAGCAAAAGCACTGAAGTTATCTCACTGATTTGGGATTAAAGCTGGATGGCTGAAGCAATTGGTTTGTCCATTTTAATCACGTTGAATAAATGCACTTAGACATTTATTCACTATTTTAAAGTATTAGCAGTTTAGTAGCTTGCGCCTCTTTCCCCTAGAGTTAGTCATTCCCAAAGAATGCAAATCTGGCAGAGCTGAACTCTGCAGCAGGGCAAACGGAACCCTAGAGACTGGGAATCTGCATTAAAACCGTTATTTATTAACTCTGCTTAGCTGTGGGTTTTTTTATGTTAATCAGACACACAGTGACTAAATTAAGTGCCAGGCAGAACAATAGGATGAGTATCTACTGTCATGACTAACTGCTCAACCTGCAGTGGAACCATAAGGTAGAAACGTTTACCTTCTGTCGTCCTTCCCTGCATGCACTTACTCTCTGTCGCTTATTCTCTGCTGAGATTTTCCATAGCTAGAGCCTGGATAAAAACCCTATAAACCCAAAAGACGTTTCTTTCAGTAGGTAGGGTGATTCATAGAGGGTGATTTCTGGACGTGTTTATTCTGAAGTCAGTTTTGCCGCTCCCGGGCGCTGTGCGCAGGAGCGGCGGGGCGGCGGGGCATTGTGCACATTCCAGCGCTAAGAATAGGAGCACACGGGCTGCTCGCTGTTATCACATGTGACGCCGCCGCTGCCTTTTGCAATGACCTGACTGGTTCTGAGCATGCCCGAGTGGTGTTTTTCTGGCAAATGTTTACATATAATAAATAGACACGGAGAGGAAAGTTCACTTATAAAAGTCCTGGCTGTCCCTTTGGAAACAGCAGCAAGACCCTGTCCTAAAGTGCCTGGGAACTCTAGAAGGCTGTAAACAGTCTGCCATGCCTCGCGCTAGGTAACACCGTAGTTTCATGGAGAAGGGGGGAGAGAGAAGGGCTCCCTGGGTGAGATGGACCGTGTCTCCACCTTATGGAGAGATCTGGGGAGCATCAGCCCATCGCAGTGTGGTGGGAGATGCTGATGCACTGGGACTGCTGCGTCCAGCACTGTTCCAAGGTGGACCAGGAGAGCCCAACTACCTTTGACAAGCAGAGAATGAAGTTTACCCTTGGAGCAGTTTATCTTTCTGATGGTACTTGATAATTCATATAGAAAATACCAGGTTGTGGCCTTTTGTATAAGGACCTCAGCTCTCTGAAACCCTTAGCAAAGAACTGCTCAAGCAGGTGGCTTGAGGAAGTTTGGTGTTATGAGTGGGAGGACCGGAGCAGGTTGCTGCAGTGAGTGGGTCCCAGAGTGGCAAGTCCCACGGTGGCACTGAGCTCCCCAGGGAAGACACCTGGATGGGGTCTCTGACTGCAGATGAACAAGGTGTCTGAGCTCCTTTTGCAGCCAGTGAGTTCCAGTCAATACAACTGAGTCTGACAAGTTATTCAGGTCACCAGTATGTACCACCTGTATTTGGGCAGGTGGACAGTCCTCCAGGCACTGCTGGATGTCCACAAGTGCTCAGTTGCCTCAATCATATGAAGGTGTCCATATTTAACACTCCCATCATCTATGATGGTGAGTCTAAATCCACCCTCAGGGCTGGGATCAGTTGAACACCTTGTGCCAGCAGAGGATCCTCCAGAACCCCAGCTGGTCCCCAGTGTGATGTGTCCCAGCTCTGTGCCAAGTTCCTGGGTGGTTGAAGAGAAATAGCATTGGTTGCCTACGCCTTGATAACTGGATTGGGTCCCTTGTCTCTGCTGAAATTTCTCCATTTGTTCTGGGGTGGGATTCAATCCAAAATGTAGTTTCTAAGCATTTCTACCACAGGGAAACACAAGGTTAAAGCAAAACTCCTTCTCATATTTTCAAAGCCAAAGCTCACGAGTGAGTCATGTCTGCGTCTGGTCACAGCGAGGCAGATGAGCAAAAATCATTGGGAGCCACAATGCCCTTAAGTCAACCCTCGTGCTGTGCTGGTGTTTGCAATCCTCCATATGCTCCTGACCCTGTGTCCATGGACCAGCAGATTATGGAGATGGGGGCAGCCTGTTCCTCTAAGAACAGAAGTTTTGCATCATGGGCTGTGCTGGAGATGGTCTTTCCCAAAGGCTTTTCAGTGCGGCATAAGATGTGGTGAAATGCCTGAAAGCCAGATAAAACCCTGAAGACCCAGACCCATGCTATAGACAGGGTGGAGGCTTCTCACATAATCTGTGCGTGTGTGTGTGCACATGTGCATGAATGGCCAGGAGAGATGAGAGAGGGGATGACCAGGAGCCACTGGACTTGACTCCTGCAGATGAGTCACTTTGAGGGTAAACATGGCAATGTGCAGCCTTTTCCCTCCTCTTAAGTAAAGAAATGACTTGGAGAATGATGTTGGGGCACTGGGGAAAATGCGCCCTCCCCTCCCTACTCCCAGCCGCTGCCTCACCAGCTGGCCATGATCTTGCTATAAATATTTAGAGTGGCATTAAAAACCCAAAGGAGAATTTCTCTCTCTTCTTGTCCAGGGAACATTAGCTACCCAAACAAAACACCCTCTCGCTTTCTTTCTTGCTCTGTATGTATATGCTCTTGTTGTGGTCCATTTTGATGATTGATTTAAATTTATCTCTCTGTTCTGGCTCTAACTCTTTGCTGCCTGTTTAGTTCTGCCTTTTCCTGGCAGTGGCTATGGATTATTTTTTTAACCCTTAAAGAAACAAATGATGCTATCTGACTTCACTAATGACACTGGCTTATGGGATTGGGGAAGAGCAGGTGGGGTGTTCTTCTGCTTTAGATAGTTATAAATGTGGCTTTTATTTAGAAGATCCCAGGCTCGAGGGCTCTGCACAGTTATGCAAATTCCTGCTAACCCAGAGTACAGAGTGTGCTGTTTAAATAGCTCATTGCTCTCGGGGGGGTTGCTTCTCCCTGCTGAGTCCTCACACAGGTCCCTGCCAATTTGGGGCCCGGGCTCCTGAGCAATGGAGCTCCTGCTTCCTGCTTTACGACTCTGTCTTCTTTTTTTCCCCAGAGATTGTGGTTTCAGACACATCTACAACTAAGTGGGCACATCAGCACTGCTTATTTAGGATTTTCTATATAAATAAGTTAGAAATCATTTTTCATGGCATAGTTTAGAATAGTATGTTCCATTGCTTGGTGGGGTCATGAGCCCTGCAGCATGAGCCCTGGTGAGAGGGTGGAGCCGCTTCTGCTGTGGGACAGTCAAACTTGTCTGATAAAATCTGTTTCTGAATGAATTCTTGAGGCAGCTTTCCAAGGATGACATGCTGTTGACCAAACCAGACCTGAGTGGTCTTTTTTTGGGAGAACAGAATTCTTCATTACTATGTAAGTAGGATGTTGCAAAGATCATAGTCTGGACTGAACAACGTGTGCAAATGGGAAAGTGGGCTCATTTGCAGGGTGTATGACCCAGCAGCATTGTGGGATGTGATGCTGCAGGTCTCCCAAAACCCTTGATGGGCTGGAGACACTGGGGGCTGTTAAAAACAGTGACCCTTTACAACTACTGCTGTACGAACTCTGTCCAGGGCAGTTTCTAGAAAATCGAAATGTCTACCAAAGAACGCACATGTTGCTGCAGTGCTACACACTCATCCTTCTCCTTCTGTTCTTTCTCAAGAGTTTGAGGTTGCTCAGTTTTGGAATTAGGATCACTGAACCTTTGGTCTGACCCAGAGCAGCTTTTCTTATGTTTTAATGTAATGGGATCATGAAAGGTCTATTATCATGCACTAAGCAACAGAGTGGCAAAAAGCTGTAATCTGATCGGCCAGTAGCAGGTGCACAGAGAAGATTGGTGATGTCAGATAACTTCTAAAACTCATACACTGATCCTATTACAATTCAGGTGAAAATGAACAAATATGGATAAAGAAAAAGAACTGTTCCAGACATTTACTTCAGTGAGCTTATTCAGTGTTACATGCACTGTCTCGATGACTACCAGCCCCCACAGTTATCAAGAGAGAGATCATCCCTTTCGCCAAATTTGCAGTGTAAGTTGACAGGGGACAAGAAAAAATATTCCTTATTATGATCTTAATAAAACTGGGAGAGAAAACAAAACCCAAGATTAACATTCCCATTGTATAAAGAGACAATTACGGGGATCATAATTAATCAGATGCCATGAGTTGGGGAGGATGGGAAGAATGCCCCGAGCACCAGTCGTGGTTGGTTGGGATGGCAGCCTTCAGCCCAGGCTGGGAGCACAGGCAGTCTGCCTGGGATACTGCGTGCCCTGGCAGTGTGGAGCTTGGTCAGTGGGCCCTGACCAGGGTAAGATGAGTGCTTAACATCATTTTGCTTACTATAAGCTGGAGGGATGAGAAATATGGGAGCAGAAAGAAAGACTAATGTGTTGGGGAATTATTAGATTTATGTATTGCATATTTACACATGCATGTAAATGTATGTAATGAATATGTGCATTGAAAGTGTAAAAATATGTCTATACTAGCAGATTACTAAGAAAATACAGCATGGATAGGGACCTTTCTATTTGATATGTATATCTGTCTCTCACCCAGCTGATAACACCATCAGGAGACCTAACTCCACATGTGCAGTCTGGTTTTGGACTTATCCTGGTACTTCCCACTGAAGCAGCTTCCCTGAGTCCTATCTGTGCTCAGCCAGAGCCGAGTGTGGATTTACTATTTGCTGCACTGGGAAAACAGTCCTTTGGCCCTGTCCTCTACTTCCCTGGCTGACATTTCAGGTTCACCGAAGGCAATGAAGCTCCCCAAGCTAGGAAGTAGCGAAGACCATGTCTGTTGTGAATGTGGGGAATTGATGGACGATCATACAGGGCAATAACAGGAAAACCTTTGTGTTACTTCAGGCACTTCCACACAGCACTGCCAGGAGTGCTCTCCTGCTTACAAATACCAAATTCCCCTAGCATCACAGGAAGATTGTGTTGGGAAGCCCCTGGGAACTCACCTAGTATAACCTCCTGCTCATAGCAGCACTAACATCAGTTACATTAGGTTGCTCGGGAACTTGTCCAGTTGAAGTTCTGAAATCTTGAAAGGTGGAGATTTCACAACCTCTCTGCATACCTGCTCCCGTATATCTGATAGGAATTTCCTTTGTTGCAATTGTGAATGCTGTCTCTCACCCATAGAAAAGTCTGCTCACTTCCTTCTGCTGCTGCTAGTTGCCAACTATCTGATCTTCTTCCTATTCTTTAAGTCCAGATATCTCTATGATCCTTCTCTCCCATTCCTCTGTAACTATTACATTATTAATTTTCTATTTAGCTGCTCAACAAACAGAATTCACTGAATGCCCTATCACCACAGCTGTCATTCTCACTGGTATGATATTTAGTGCTGAACTAAGGCTTATTTTAAGACTTGACTGAATCTGGGCATGGTTTTGTAGGCAAGGTAACAGGCTACATCTATAGATACTGGCCTTGAAATTGAAACTTGAATTTTGAACCCCTGACCTAACCTTATAGTTGCATATAAGTCTCCATGTTTTACAGCATTGGAGTTATAGAGCAACTTCCCAAGAGTCACTGCCATCACTATTTGTATTGTGTACAGATAGAAGATAAAGCATGTAATTCAATAATGACTTTGCCCAATATACGTGGGTGTGAATATGTGTGGGCT